CGGGGGGGCCCCGGGCAGGACTCGGCCGCGGTTGATAAGAGCTGCCAGCGCCGATTGTTTGCCTTAGGAAGTCGTTCGCGGCGCAGGAAGCTCTGGTTTCCCAGCGCTCCCCGCCGGCAGCTCCAGCTCCGCCGTGACCTTGGCCGGGGCGAGGGCGTCGGGGAGAACCGACGGGCACAGACCCCAGCGGCACTGGGAACGAGGGGACAGCCTGCAGGGAGCTTCTCCTCCCCCGAGGCACAGGGATGTGCTTCCCAAAAAAGGCTGAGGGATGCAGGAGCCACCGGCGGCGCCGGCACATCCCGCGGGGCAGGGCTGAGCTAGCCCTGCAGGAACACCAGCTGCTGCCTTTGGGTTTAAAAATAGCCTCCCTGAACAGGGAGTGCAATGTAAAGACACATCCTCTCTCTCTCCCCAAGCAGTGCTGCTCCTTCCCTGCCCCACACAATGTGTCCCGTGCATGGTTCCCTGGAAAACAGGAGCCCCTTCCTGCGCTTCCTGCCCTGCTCCAGCCACGGGGAACCGCAGGGACCAGGATCCTGCTGCCCCAGCACAGCTCCACGGGGCAGATCCATGTTCTGGGACAACAAAACGAGAGCTAGAGGGCTGGGGATGCCCCAGGGACACCGACCCACCACCCCAGCCTCAGCTCACCTGATGAAGTAGCAGCAGAAGATGAGGCTGAGCATGAAGACGAAGATGCCAGTGCCGAAAATGACCATGTAGATGTTCAGGGGAAGGTCCTGGAAGGTGATGGGTGGCATTGTGCAAGGTTTACTGGTGTAAATCAGCCCCAGACTGCAGGAGCACCCTTGTGGGGAAGAGAAAAGTCAGGGTTTAGGGTGGGAAAAGAGGTGCAGATGATGTGCTGTGAGAGCAGAGAGAGCCTGGGCTGACTCCGTCCCCTCTGCAGTTTGCAAAGTGGGCAGAAACCCACTAAGACATCATCCTGTGGCCTGTGAGCAGATCTCCCCAGCTCAGAGCAGCTCAGTGAGGCACCAGCAGCTGCATCTGCACAGCCACCAAACCCTTCTCCAGCAGCACAAATGTGCCCAGGCAGAAAGCAGGCAGCTGGGAGAAAAGGAGGCCTTGTACTTCCATCTCCAGAGGAATACATGGAGGCTGGAAGGGGATTTAGGGAAGGACAGAGAGAAAAACCAGCTTGAAAAACAAGAACAGTTGGTGTCTGTCATTGCTCTGTGGGAGCCAGGAGAAGCAAGTGGCTGGTTCATCCTCAGGGCTGGGAGGAGCACTGGGGCTGTGTGGGAGCACACTCAGCACCACACTGACCCAAATCCCCTTTCCCTGCACACCCCAGGCCACCACAGGGGAAACACAGGAGTCACACAGAGCCAGTGACAGCAGGAGGGTCCCACTGAACCAAGGGGGGCAGGCACAGAGCCCTCAGCCCCCTTGACACGGCTCTGCTGCAAGGTCCTGAATAAGCACCATTTTATGTCTCAGAATCATGCTGACCCTCCCAGAGCAAGAGCTTTGGTTTCTCAGCTCTCACTCAAACAGGACCTTAAAGTGTGCCCCATGAAGCATCTCCCCCAGCCCCTTCCTTCCGCTCAGCACCCTGCACCTCATCAAAAACTCCTCCAGAAACACTTCTGGGTTTAATTACAGCCCACTAACCCCTGTGCCTGTTTCTCATGAGAGGATGAATTTGCTCTGCACCACAGAGAGCACAGGCAGGAAGGAACAGGCAGCAGAAACCCCTGCCCAAGTGGAGAGATCCCAGGGATGGTCTGTCTGGTTTCCTCCTTGCTGTGATGGGGGACAGCAGGACACCTCACAGCCAGAGGAGTCCAAGCAGCACAGGCAAGTGGCACCCCTGGGCTGAGATCCTGCCCTGGGACACTCAAGTCCCAGTTATTCCCAGGCACCTGCTTTGCTGTGCCGTTTGGATTTACATCCCCCATTGATGCCACAGCCAAAGCCACCGTGGCCAGGGAGGCAGCTGGTCCTGAGGACCAAAGTTTGCTGCTGTGCAGCTGGAACAGGCATCAGATGAGAGCTTGGACTGTAGGAAATGGGTTTTTCCTGCCACAGAGGGCAGAGCCACTTGCTCATTGCATCTTGTAATCACCGGAGACAATCCATCACCTTCCTCATCCACAGAGTGGGAAAGGGAGGATTTGTTTGTCAGGTCCTCCTCTCTCAGCCTCCTGCTCCTCAGCCCACCAGGTGCAGGAAAAGACAATAGGAAAGGTTCATTATTTGTTGCCATTTCCTTGCTGGAAATGATTGAGAAATGCTCAAAAAACCCAAACCCAAACAAAAGGTATATAAGTCAGAAAAACTCCCTGAGCAGTGACATGAGGTAATGCTGTGAGGGACACAGGCTGCAGAGCAGCTGTGCTGGGAGGAGGACACCCCATTTGAGGCTGGCCAGAGCAGTGGGTGGTGGTGCAACAACAGGTCACAGTGAAACAACAATCCTTCCTAGCTGTACTTCAAACCTATCCCAAGAATCTGCTGAGAAGCACCAGCTGTTCCCCTCTGTGCCACAAGAGTGGGGACAGCAACAGCCCCAAAGGCAGAGCCTGGAGAGGGGAGAGAGGAGGGATGGGGGGCTGCTCCCCACGGGGGGAACATGCTCTGTGTGTGCCAACAGCCAGCAAGGGCCTGCTCCATGGGCCCTTGGCTGGGAGAGCTGGAGGAGAATTGAGATGGCAAAGCCTTTGTCTGGGAGAGCAGGAGGAGAGCTCCACAGAGAGCAGAGAAGGGTTGGGAGGTGCATCCTGGAGGTATCCCAGGAGAAGCATCATGTGGGTTGGGAAGGAGAACCCCAAGAGACAAAAACCCTTCCCAGCACATCCCTCTGTTCTTATCCAAGGGGGTCAGAACCCTGTGAATGATCCCAACCATCACCCCCAGCCACTGCACAGGGATGTTCCCACAGCCCCATGCTCTGTGGGGCAGAAATCCTATTCCCTGACCTCACCAAGGCTTCCAGAGCACTGCTCCATGTTAGACACCCAAACTCCCCACAGGTGGATACAGCCACATGGAAAAGCCACCTGGATGCTGAGAGAGGAGCAGCCAAAGCCCCCGCAGGGAAGGACCTGAGGTGCAACATGAGATGCTGAAACGTGCAGCCCTGAAGGAAGCAGAGAGGAGCTGCAAGGGCCCTGCCAGCCACAACACAGCTGGCAGGGCTAATTTTAGACTCACCAGCTCAGCAAGGGTCATTCCTCCTAAATGGGTCTTCAAGAATTCATGAGCTCTGGGCTGTGGTGCCGAGAAGTGAGCTCAGCTCCAGGGCAGGGCCCTTGGCTGGGCAGGCAGCAGTCATGGGCTTGGAGGAGATGAGGAGATCCTGCCAGGATGAGCCCTCAAGCCCCACGTCCCAGTAAGGCTGCTGAGCCCTCCCCAAAAATCCAGGCCCTCCCAGCCCCTTCCCTCCCACTCCTCCCAGCAGAGCCATCAGCAGGGTGGGAGCGTTGGCTGAATGATGGTTTTGATTAGCACAAACCCCTTTGCCTGACACAGACATTCCTATTTTTAGTTCAAGGGGAATGAATGGAGCAAATCCTGGTTTAACCAACATGAAATGAAAACCTGATGGGTGCTGAACCCAAACTGGAACAACCCATTTCACCAGCTCAGGTCAGTTTGGTACCCAAAACAAGAACCCCTGAAAGTGGAGCAATGATTTAGGTGAAAAATGAGAAAAGAGGGATCAGTAGACATCTGTGGAAGTGCCTACAGACACGTGGTGACTTTCTGGGCTCTTCTCCTACACAAAGGATGCCCAAGGAGGAGGTTCATTTGGCCAGAAAGGTGGTTCTCATGCAAGCTGCCAAAGCAGAAGGAGTAAACATGCAGTTTGACCCATCAGGGCTGTGGGTTACACCTCTTCTTCTTTCTCCTTCTACTCCTCCTCCCCACAAATCTCCCTGGCAGATTTCAGCACTGAGCTGCCCCAAGCTGCAGTGAGGACACACAGAGCCTTGAGTTGGCTAGTGGGGTGGCCCTAGCCCTGCTCCCCCCACACCAAACCCCTCAGCCTGACTTCAACCACCACAACCCACTGAAGAGCCTGCCCAGCCCCTCCTCAAACCCAGCCCCTTGTTCTCCAGCAATGCCTTGTGGCTTGGCCCCTCAGACACCACATTTTGCAGTATTTCACAGCATTTTAATTCAGGACAGCCCCAAGTTTCCACCCTCACTGCGCAGGCACAGGGTTTTTGCTGAGAAGAACTTCTCCCTCACCCCAATTCTTGTTCAATAAACCAAATGGAAAACTCAGCAGGTCATTAAATAAAACCATTCTTTTCTCCTCCCACACAAAAGCTGTGGGCTTTGCATCAGAAAATTGACTGCAGCTTCCATATAATTTCTGCTGTGATGCTGGAATAGGTTTCCTGCATGAGCTGCCCTGAAGCCAAGCAGTTCTCCATGGGAAATAACCAGTTCCCTTCCAAATAAAGTTACCTGGCTCATTCCTGGTGACTGCAAAGTCCTGAACTACAGGTGAGCAACGGGAGGAAAAGTTGTGAGGTGGAGGAGGAGCTGAAATGCCAAAGCAGCAGCTCAGCCTACGCTTGTTGTGAAGATACTCTGAATAAACCTATTTAGACTGAAAAGGGATTTCTTCAGTGAGTCTCAGCCTTATTTACACCACCAGCCCCAGCCCTGCAAAGTCCCTCAGAGCACACAGATAAGGGATTTTGTGGGGCTGATTCACTAAATATTTGTGAGCTCAGGGCTCAAAGCCAAAGTGGACAAGCCATGTGCCCACGGCTGATCCCACGTCTTGGCCCCTGAACAAGGGTGGGCTGTGTTCCTGGTGCTCCCCAAAGCCCATGCCTTGGGAAGCTGGAGAGAGCTGGGGCTGCTCAGAGCCTGTGAGAGCAAAGTCTGTCTTATTTGGGATGTTTCTTTAACACAGCCAAGTTTGGAGCTGCTCTGGAGCATTTCCTTGCTCCCCCCCCCAGTCGCCACATGTGTGGGTAACTGCTCTGTGTCCCCCACGTCGCCCAGAGCACACGAGGGATGTGTTAGAGGAGAGGAAGCCACTGGTTGCATTATATTTAGCTTCAAAGGCTGTAACCCTTTCAGAGATTAAAACAGCCCAGCCTTTGTTGCTCAGGCAGGGCTTTGATGGTGGAATTCCCAGCGCAGCTCCTCCACTACTTAGTCATAAA